CCGCGCAGGGGGCGTGACCCGGCCGTGCGGTGGGGATGGTGGCAGATGCTCCCACCGCCGGGGTGTGTGAAGTCAGGCGAGGAGCTCCCATCCGATTGGTAAGCTTCATGCGTGGAAGGTGCAGTTCTCTACCTTGGAAAAAATGCTTGTTGGCATGTGGCTTTTGCAGTTGTAAAACTCAAATGTGAAGTGGAGTGAGTTTGTTTTGTGGTTTTGGTTTCTTTTAATTGTGTGTTTTAAATATTGCCCGAATGCTTAAGACTATTAAGGTGAAATTGAAGGTGCTAATTTAACCCATCTGTAAGATTCCTGTAATGAGAAAACACTGCTGCTTCAGTATCCAAAGTGTGGTGTGAGGAAGCTCATAAAGACTGGGATTTTTTGCTTCTCCCTCTTCTCCTCCCCCACCCCCCTAACAATGAGCTAGACTAGTCATCTTTGTTTATTAATTATGTATTGCTTGTACTGGAGAAATCTGGGATGCCAGTAGGCAATCTAGAGTTTATGCCTTGTGAAAAGGGCCTGGAAGTGGAAAGCTCTTGAGTGTGTCTCTCGAGTTCACTCTGGTGATACTAGTGCAGCTCTGGCAGTAGAAAAAGTAGATTAATAGTGGAAGTGATGGGTTAAGTAGAAAAATGTTCCAGTGTTAGAAACAAGGCAACAGGGAGTTTCTTGTGTTTCTGAGTACTTATGAGCTCCAACTCAAATGTGTTACCCTGACAAGGTAGTAGTGTGTGATTCCTTACAGGCTTATGTCTCACCTACATGCAAAAGTATTTTGGGGAGGGTAGGGGGCTGTTTGCAATCCCAGGTGCTTTCTCAGAAACACTGAACTTGAATTGACTCGGCATGCTGCAAGTGCACTCAGCTACTACCAAAAGAGTACATCTTGAGTGGTGATAGACCTTTCATGCTGCTCTGTGGAGACCCTAAAAATGTCAGGTGTGCTTCCAGAAGAGAGAGGGAAACGAGTTCTGGATGAAGCGTAACCTCCTGAACCACCGCAGTGCCTGGTAAATGTGAGGTACTTGTGGGTAAACAGAGGAGTATTGACCACATGCAGAGGTCTTAATGCTGCTGAATTTAAGCCTCAGGTAAGGAAATTACAGGGAGTTGCCCCTGAAGATTGTAGGAAACTCCTTTACTGGCACATACTAGTGTATCTCTCTAATAGAAGATGATCATATCTAATCTATATAATGTCAGAAACCCAACTCTGCTAAAACTTGGTAGACCATGTGCAAAGACTTAGATTGAGAGACTGCTGCTGGGCTTCAGTCCTTTCACTTACCTGGTTATGCCTATAGTGAGCCCAGCAACTTAATGAGTTTAAACACAAAACCAGATGCAAGGCAGTTGGGGGTTGTAAAGGATGAGATTCCAAGTCATCCTTAAAATTATGGAAATGGCAGGGTATTTTTAAGGATGTGGGCAGGATAAACTTTATAGGTAAATATTTGTGGGCGTGAAATGCCCTAACTTTGAGACCGCTTCTTTCAGATATAGAGGCTTATCTGAATGTTATTACCTGTACTTTTGCAAACCGTAGACTGTGATGAAATGTATTTAAAGCAAAGCATGTACTTGTCGTCTTTTTTGCTCCAAGATTCTCAGTTTGCAGTTTGTGTATTCATCTGTAAATACTTCCAAAAACTCCTAAATGTGTGTTAGAGTATATTTACCTCTGGGCAGAGACGCAAACAGTAAACAGGCAACCATCCAGAGAGCAGTCTCCCTAATGAAGTGAGAGAGAGAAATGCCAAATACTTTGTTAGAATGCTAGAGCAGAGATCAAAGACTTTTTCTCTGGCGTAATTTATGCCCTTTTTCACAACTGCCTCATCTGTGAAGAGAATTTGGATACAAAGCTGGATGGGTTAGAAACCCTGCCATGTTTTGTCATCTAGTCTTGGTGTCGATTGTATCTCCTGCCTGCAGATCTGAGGTTTCCCAAATGTCATAACGGGATGGGGCTTCAGTGGCAAACACCAACCCATGCTTCCCGCTTGCATTCTCATGCGGACAAAGTTAATTTTGTATACGTAGTCATAGCTTGCTCTTGAGATTATTTTCTATTGGCAATTAAATTGAATTCCCTCTGCCTCCAAATTTCAGCTGTTTTGCAGCACAAGAAAAGTGTAGCTTACCATTTCATTTTTGTGCCTTCCCAGTCCTTAAGGATCCCTCCCAGTTGCGAGCTTCACCAGGTGCTCCAGCTGCCACTCCTGCCTCTGCAAAAGAGTGAAAGGCTCTTAATTTTTGCCGCTGTAAGCGTTTCTCCAGAAGGGGATAGGTTATTTACTAGTACTTCGTTTGCTGTGGTTCAGTCTGTTTTCTTTCACTCTGTATATGTAATACAGGCAGGATATTATACCCACCGTTGTATACACTCTCTGTATTATGTACACAAAGCATATATTTACAGTCTGAATACACTCTTACAATACACAGGGTGTATTTATTTTCATGTCCAGGATGGATGTGAGCCACAAGCTGTGCACTTGCTAGCCCTGAGATTTCAACCTGGTGAAGGGATTCTTATTCTATAACCAGCTGAGATTAAAGAAGGTGGTGAAAACTAATGGCTCTTGTGTTTATCAAGAGGTGTAGACAACCATCCCTCAGACTACCAACCACCACCCAAGCTGCATATCTACCAACAAAATACAAACACTGCTAATTGGCAGCATTTTCCTTATAGGCTTAAAAGAGCTGCTGCTTTGAGGAGGCTGTTAAATCAGGTACTTTCTCAAAGAGGAAGGAAAAAAAAAAAAAAACTGAGAAGGGGGAAGAATGTGGGGTTTGGGCTTCCTCTCCCTGTCCTCATAGTATCTCATAGCTTAAGGAGTACAAACAGCTGAAGTGACTGTTCCTCCCTGGTGTGCTCCAGAGATAATGCTGATGGTGGAAGTAGTGGTTTAGCCAAGGTCCTCTTCCCACTGGGGCAGCTCTGTCTGGGGAAGGTGCTGGTGCTGCTCTCCTGTCTATTGCTCCTGGTGCAATGGTGCTTCCTGGGGTGAGCAAGACCTGAGAGCTGGATTTCTGTGTTTCTCCCTCTCTCCTCATGGCCAAGCCCTGGTTATACTTCACTTACCAGCCTTTTCCTAATACTCAGGGCAAGCCATCTGCCATTTTTGGCTTCTTTGACATTAAAACCAGTGTGTCCTGCATGTTTGTGATTAACTCCTTCTGTGGTTGCCTCCTTCCCCATTGTGATGGTTATTGTTTCAAGCAAGGGTATAAATTTATGCAAAGTGAGCTTACTCCATGTGCGTCGCCTGCCTTTTGTAAATGAAACTGAGGCACTGATGCCACTTCTATCTGCTTGACTAGTTGTCCATGATGCCCCATGGAGTTTATCCTCTCTCTCAGCTTTGTACAGTTGTTCTACTCCACATAAGGCTGCTCTATAGAAGTCATAGAATTTTTTAGGTTGGAAAAGACCTTTAAGATCATCAAGTCCGACTGTTAACACTGTCAAGTCCCTAAGCACCACATCTACCTGTCTTTTAAATACCTCCAGGGAACCACTTCCCTGGGTAGCCCGCTCCAATGCTTGTCAACCCTTTCAGTGAAAAAATTTTTCCTGTTATCCAACCTAAACTTCCCCTGGCACAACTTGAGGCTGTCTCCCGTTGTCCTATTGCTTGCTATTTGGGAGAAGGGACCGACCCCCATCTGGCTACAGCCTCCTGTCAGGCAGTTGTAGAAGGCGATAAGGTCTCCCCTCAGCCTCCTCTTCTCCAGGCTGAACAACCCCAGCTCCCTCAGCCGCTCCTCTGGACATGCTCCAGCTCCTCAATGTCCTTCTTGTAGTGAGGGGCCCAAACCTGAACACAGTATTTGAGGTGTGGCCTCACCAGTGCTGAGTACAGGGGGACAATCGCTGCCTTCTCCTCCAAATATCAGGAGCAAACTTACCCTGTGCTCTGGCCTGGCACTGGGGCAAGAATGGGTGGATCTGCAGGGACCAGGGCTCCACACCAACTTGCTGTTAGGCAGCAGCAAAGGCTCTTGCTGGGCTGAGGGAGGGCAGCCTGGCAGCTGGAACTCGGCAGCTGTGTTCTGTAGTGGTACTGTGGCCATGTCTGCTCTCTCTGTAGGTAAATGGGGTCCTTATGATGTCCCCCTACACAGAAAGAACTCAAAATTTGGTAGGTGTGGCCAGCTAACAGGTCTGTGTAAAGGTGCAGTAGCAGCAGACCAGAATGACCAGAAAGTTGGAACTCCAAGAAGTGATGTCATTCTTCTGAAGAGCCTGTCATTTTCTAAAAGTTTTGATTCTGACTCAAGAACCACATGAAGGTGGTTGTTCCAGCCCAGCCAGCTTGTTTGCGCCTCCAGCTTTGGCGAGCTTACTCCCACGGAGTCTCTGTGGGGTTTCTGGTTCTCACAAGTGCCTGCGCAAGTCTTGGACTGGGGGGGAGTGGGGAAGTGGGAGCAGACCTGAAATACCAAACTGCTTCTGAATTGCATGAGAACATGGAGCTCTCTTGCCATCCGCGTGCTTTTGTTACTTCCCTACTGAAGTTTGAGCTTGTGCGTAAAGAAGGAGCAAAGCAGGTCTTGTTTTAGGAAGCAGCGTCTAATTGCAGGAATCCTTCAGACTGGCCTAGCTGCAGCACCTGACCCTTAATTTAGCTTAATCTAGTGCTGTTTAGTTGAAATAACGTTTCTTTCTGGGTAGAGCTGACTCTGCTTGGAACAAAAATGTTTCCACTGAGCCTCTAGAAGGATTGTTCTTGGTACACTAAAGGGGAGATCTGTTCCCATCTGTGCAGTTCTGCTGGTGTAAGGTGCTTCAGCCACCATGTGGATCAGCATTTAAAAGAATTAGTTTCTACTTGCTATTTCACATCTTTTTTTTTTTTTTTATTCTTAAGTGCTGGTTTAAATGACATTGAAGTTTACAAAAATAATAACTTTTTTCAAATTTAAAAGTGGATCCATTTACTGTTCATTTCAATCTGACAAAATAATTATTTAGAACTCAACCTCTGAAAAAATAAAACAATTGAGAAATGCTTTGCAATGAAGAATCACTTCCTGAAGAATTAAAATACAAATTAATAACTTCTTTAACACACTAACCTACCTGAAATAACAAAGGCATGCAGCGTAACTAAAGGGTATGATTAAATTGCAAAACTGAATTTCTTGGCAGTGTCTCTGTCATCCAACTTTTGCATCATGCGTGCAAGGCTGTTTACTGAACACATTAGTTCAGTCTGCAATAAAACTAAATTAATCAAGTAGGCAAGTAACCACATTTTCCTAGTGCCTGTAGAATAGCAGGACTTTATGTCCTAAAGTTAATTGATTCAAGTTGTCTCTTTCCAGTGCAAGGAGGTGTGGGTGTGAGAGAGGTCCTAAATGCTACTGTTGAAGGCTTTATGCTTGTGAAGCACTAAAGTTCTCCCATTAAAATAAGAGAATCGTGTTTTCCCTAAGTGCTCTGTCAACCCTGGAAATAGCATTGCTGTGGTATATTAAGGACACTTCCCTGTGAATAGCTCTGCTGGTCAGGACAGCTGGGGTGGCAGGACGGGAAAATGCTTTGGGTAGAGACGCCATGCATGAGCCAGGGGCCCACGTTGTGTACAGATGTTTTTTGTTGCTTTTGTTTTTGGGTTTTTTTATTGCCATAAGCCTTGCTCTGAATTCTCCAGGCAGCTGTCTGATCATCAGGGATGAGTGGTGTGGTTGACATGCCTGGGGGATGGGATGCCATCCAGAGGGACCTGGACAAGCTCAAGAAGTGGGCCCATGTGAACCTCAAGAGGTTCAACAAGGCCAAGTGCAGGGTCCTGCACCTGGGTTGGGGCAACCCCCTCTATCAATACAGGCTGGGGGATGAAGGAATTGACAGGAGCCCTGCGGAGAAGAACTTGGGGGTACTGGCAGATGAAAAGCAGGAGCCCTATGGAGAAGAACTTGGGGGTACTGGCAGATGAAAAGCTGGACACAAGCCGGCAATGTGCGCTTGCAGCCCAGGTGGCCAATCCTATCCTGGGCTGCATCAAAACCAGTGTGGACAGCAGGTCCACTCTGCTCTGGTGAGACCCCCACCTGGAGCACTGTGTCCAGCTCTGGAGCCCTCAGCACAGGAGAGACATGGAGCTGTTGGAGTGGGTCCAGAGGAGGGGCCACAAAGGTGATCTGAGGGCTGGAGTACCTCTCCTGTGAAGACAGTCTGAGAGAGTTGGGGTTGTTCAGCC